GCTTCCGAATCTCAGACTCAGAAGACAATCCAGGGTTCCGACGGGCTTTCTTTATGCCCAACCAGAACCGATTTTTTTAAAAAAGGACATTCTTGCCCTTCACCAACCTGGCTCTTTTCAGACTCCAGAGCGCGAGAGTCTGTTTATCCTGCTTCGACCTCTTCAACTTTGCCCTCAAAATAATACATTTTTAAAAAAGAAAAGGGGGGCGGGAAGGAACAGAGACGGGAAAGACAGACGGAAACACACACAGATCCCTGGGCCGCTCTGACGGCTTGATTATTTTGAGTGTAGCCGGGCTCTGGAGCATGTGTATATATTTTCACCTTACGAATTCCTTCTGCTTTGAGGAAAGTGGCCGGTTAGCCAGGAGGAAGGAAAGTTTTCCTTTATTTACTTTTCGGTTACAAAATGCAAGTTGCATCCCCCTCCCCTTTTTTTTTAAGGAAAAGAACTCCTTTGAAAAGGAGAAAATGTGGTTTTAAGGAGAGGCTTCCTGTGCTCTGCCTCGGCTCGCTTTTTCTATATTTATCTCCTCTCTCCCTCCCCTCTCCCCCCTCTACTTGCTCTCTGCGAGGCAAATCAGCCTGTTCTGACGACTTACACACACACCAATCTATCCCCCCCCCCAATTCGGGGGTAGAGGAGGTTGGGGAGGGGAAGGCATCGGTGTATGGTTTGTGTTAGAGAATCCCTCCCCCTCTCTCTTCTGTGCATGTGCGTGTTTTCCCCCTAAAGAAGGGAGGAGAGAGACGATGTCTCGAGCTCTGGATGTTCCCGGTTGAGAAAAATGGATGGAAGAGAGACGAAGGGGGCAAAGAGAAGCAGGGAGAGAGAGAAAGGCAAAAGGAAGGAGGAGGGGGGCAAAGATTTTTGACGTCTCTTTGTGCCTTGTTTGGCTGCAAGAAAAATAAGCTGGGGAAGGGGGGAGAGGAAGGGGGGGAGGGAGCGAGCGGAGAGACAGCCTCCCGTGGCAGGGGAGCCGCTGGTTGGCCAGGCATCTCCGCGCTCGCCAGCGACGCTTGGCTGCCGATGCCTCAGCGCATTCGACTGGAGACTGGCGATCCGGCCCGCTCTCGCCGCTCTCTCCCTCCTTCTGCGCCCGAGCGAGGAAAGCTAACCTGTTCCGGCAGCAGCAGCAGCCTCCACCGCTCGGCCCCCGAAGCCTCCTCCCGCCGGCCCCTCCTCCCGCTCCTCTTTGTGCGCCTTGAACTTGAGAGGGGGCTGGGGCGAAGGCGAGGGGCGAAGCGTCTCCGTCGGGGCAGGGGGAGACGGGAGAGGCGCCGAGGCCGCGTTGTACCGCCGGGAGTGGCGTCTTGGAGGGAAGGGCGAGGAAAAGACGGCGGAGAACGAGGAGGTTTTGGGCCCGGGAGGGGGATTTCCCCCCTTTTAAATATCATTTTAAAGAAACCACAACCGCCATGCCGCTGATCTAAGGAAGGTCTCTTGCCTCCGACCCGGGGCCCGGAGATGTGGGCGCTGCGCCGGGGAGCTCTGTGAGGGGCGCGAGCGATGCGGTGATTGCCCAGAGCGAAGGTAAGGGATTCTCGGCCGTCTCAATCCGGAGCGAGCCAGCGGTTAGCCGGCGTAAAGCCTGCCCGTAGATCTCGGTTTGCGTCAGAGAGAGGCGCGGGTGGGCAGAGCAATTCCAGGCCCGTCCGAGACAGTCTGACCTTCCGGAGCGCGTCGCTTCTCTTAACCTGGGAGGGGGGGCAGCGCTTCCCGGGGGCGCTGGGGCAGGGGGGCTCCGAGAACCGCGAGGTCCAGCCGGCAAGGAGATCTAGCCCTACGCGCGCAGGGAAGCCTTTAGCTCGACAAGAAGCCCCTTCTTTCTCTCTTTCCTTCCTTCCTGCCTTCCTTCCTGCCTTCCCCGCGGCGCCCGACTCCCGGCGTTGTGCTTCCAGCTCGCCGCTCCGGCTGCCTTTTCCATCCGGCTTCTGCCGCGGCCTGGTTCTGTCAAGCCTGATTTTCTCTCCGGAGCTCTCGGCTGCTCGCCGACCATTCTTCTCGGCGCTGGGCCCACCTCCCCTCCTGCAGCCTTCTGTTTAATTATGTGGCGAACGGGAGACAGGCGGCGAGAAGAGCTCGCAGGAGAGAGGAGCTGCTCTTGTGGCCGAGCGAGAGACGGAGAGAGGCGGAGAGAGAGAGAGAGCGCGCTCTGCGCCTCTCGCCTTTTGTTCTGGCTACACGGTTCGCTCGACTGCCCTTCTCCCGGCCCGGGGAAAAGCTCTGGGGGAAAGCGACAGGGGGCTCCGCTTCCACGGGAGGTGACCTGGACTGGGCTGGAGGTGGGAGGAGAGGGCTGGCCCGATGGCCTTTCGGTGCCCCCCAACGGCTGGACGCCACGGCCACCCTCCGTTGACTGTCGTGGCTTGAATGCACTCTCGGCTTTCGCCGGCATTTCCGAGATGAAGATGATAATAATATTACCCCCCCCCCTTACACAGAGCGAAGAAATCTGATTTGTTTTCAGAAGCGAAAAACTTCCCTTTGGAATGACCTTTGCAGCCCAGTTCTATCCATGTTAACTCAAAGTAAGTCACGTTGGTTTTTATGGGATTTATCGATACTCCACCACCACCACCACCACCACCACCCGCAGTAAATCTGCATAGGCTTCCAATCTGCGGCCCTATGGTTTCTTTATCCGAGGTGGACTGAAATATTATTTCCACCCCGTCCACTTCCCCTCTTGTTTCTAGCTTGAATTTATAAGAAGGATTTTCTTTTCGTATTAGCTATATATTGCTAAGAGGACCTCGGTCTGAGATTCCGGAATAATAATCTTGCTCTGTATTCTGACTGCATTTGGGTTTTCTTTTCTTTTTCTTTTTTTTAAAAAATCCCCCCCCCAAACCGTGGTATTAATAATATGTTTTCATTTATGGAGAAAATAGAATTATTTAATTTTTCACTAGATGTTATAATGTGCTTCCCGTTTTTTAAAACATTCGTTCTGACTGCATTTGATCCGCTTAATTCTATCGAGGTAACATTACCTTTTCCTTGGAATTATTAAAAATGCTGAAGATTTCTACACCACAATTTAAATTACTGGGAATGATAATGGACATTTTCCTCTAAGTGCACGTGGGTCACAAGCTCATTAATGGCCAGATGCTACTGGCCCCTGCTCTATTCATTTCCGTTCAGCAACTTTCCCATTGCTTGCAGTAGGATACCTCTCAACAAAGGTAGCCTTATTTTTTTTAATGAAAATATTCTCCAAATTAAAATGTCTCACAGCCAGACTCAAACCACGGGTTATTCGGAAAGTAAGTCCCCCTGATTTTTGGGGAGGTGGGTGAGGCCTTCAAATAAATATGACTCTCAGAACCAATAAACAATCCTGCACCATTATTTGAAGTTAAATTCCAGCTCAATTCATGGTATTTTTTTCTTCTTCCCAGAGACATATATCTGGGATGGGGGCGTCAGAAGGTGTTCTGTTGTGTTTTCCTTGCTGGGTTGTTATTTTTAAGGTCCCTCTGAAGACCCATCCTTAGGCCAAATAAGACCGTTAAACCGCTGGCCTTGATTTCATACATCACAACAGATATTATTCCCCCTCCAAATTCTGATTCCTAGCTCGGTTCCCAAAAGACCATTTTTGGAGGGCGTTTGCTGTAACCCTTAAGGTCCAATCTGCGAATTTGGTCGTCTGTCTGTGCTCCGAGAAAAAAATGTTCTCTTTGTGGTGGTGGTGGGCTTGTTTATATAATTAAGATTAGACTTGCAGGTCATGATAGCAAAGAAAGGAGCTCTCATAATGAAAACTCTTATAAAGCAACCTCAGTTTATGAGAAGGTCTAGGCTCTGGCGGGGGAGGGGGGCGTTCAGCAGCGAAAAGCCACGGAAAATCAAACCGGGATCGCTTGAGAAAGTGAAATGGCTTCTAATCGAGGGGCTTCAGAGAGAAAAAACAGTGCCCAAAACAGCGCCTTATATGTTTATGGGGATTTTCCCAGATAATTCTGACAAGCACCTGTGGGTGGAAGTTGATGGCTCTGCCCTCTTTAGCCAACTAATCATGCTCCCCCCTCACCTTCTCAGTTCACTTCGAGAGTATCTGTGCGCACATACTGCTTAGGTATGTATACAAACCGCAGATATCTCAACAATCCTCTCTTGCATTGTGCTCGCTCCCATACTTGCTGTATACCATACACACAGAGAGACACACAGATAGATGTATGTGTGTGTTTGTGTATGTGTTTGTATTTCTTTGTGTGCACCGGTGTGTGTGTGAGCCAGCGTGTGGAAACATTCCGGCTGATGTGTGTGTGTTTGTTTACCTACGCACACACTTTGTGTTTCATATATGGCGGGGGAATCGAGAAACAGGGAGAGGGGGAAAGCAAGAGGGAGAGAGGCCGTTCTAACCCAACAAATAAGAACCACAGTCCTGGCCACGGTTCGAGTACTCAAACCGCATTGACTTCAGTGGGGCCTGAGCAACCCTGCAGCCCGATCCCACGCACAGAAGTCAATCGTGCAGTCTTCCTAGGACCGCTGCGGTTCTCTCGTCTTTACAACAGTGGAAGAAAGCGACATAAATGATATGCACATTATCGGGCGCGATGATATGGTGAGATCTTGCCTTCCGGATGCATATAACAAATGCATTTGCTGTGTTTTTGTGATTCCTTGATGCATCCATAGGAGAAAGCGAGAGGAGTGGAAAGCAACCCCCTTCTTGGGCTTCCTGCTGGACTGGCAGGGCCCGCCGGCCTTGCTTCGTGCCGGCTCTGAATGTGCCCGGGTGGGTCTCCTTAGACCTCTTCGCCCTCTCACTTCTCCCTCCCGCTTTCTCCTGGCGCACAAGATCCTCTCGCGGTATGTGAGATGACCCCCGGGCAAGAGCCGCTCGCGATCTCCGCCGCCCCACTCCGCGTGTGTCTCGCAAGCCCGTGGTGTGTGACCCGTCTCCTCCTCTTCCCTTTTGCATGTGCCGGCGTGCCTGTGCCGTGTAGGCAGCGGGGGGCTCAGCGGCCGAGAAGATGGCGGATGCCGAGGAAGGCTTCGGGCTCCCAGCGACGCCAGTAGAATCCGAGACGAAGGAGCTGGCCAGCGAGGGCAAGCCGGACAGTCAACTGGGGGCCAGCAGCAAGCAGCCCGCCTCGCCCCAGGCCGCCTTTGCCCAACAGGTAGGCTGACCGGGAGGGGGGGGGGCTGGCGGGAAGCTGCGTATTGGGGGGGGGGTCCGACAGGTTCTGATTCCTCCTCCAGCCCACAATATCTATTAGCCAGAACTGATCGATCGTGGCAATCGGGCTGTCATATTCGTAATAGGGTTGTCGCAGACATTGGACATCTGCGGCCAGGCACCGTGGGCCGGACAGAAGGTCTGGGATTCGAATTGGTCGGGGATCCGAAAGGAGTTACTCCGTCCCTACCAAGAATAACGTGCGTCACTCTGCATTTTGGCAAGGCAGGCCGGCCCTACTGCAAGTTAGGGGGGGAGGTTGGATACCGAAGGGGAGGGCCCAGTGCCGCCGTTCGAGTTTTCTGCCTCGGATATCAAAACAGGTAGAGCTATTTCTTCCCGTCACCCTAAACCGGCCGTCGATTGGGAATCTCCATAATCCCTAGGAGGCCCCTTTGAATATTATCTTCTCCGTCAAGCAATCCCCTGTCGAACCTGCCGCTCCCGGATCTGTGGTCGCAGCCACCAGATTAACGAGCAGATCCCCCCCCCGCCGCCATCTTAAACTAACGTAGTTGGCTCTAGGACAACCTAATGTAAAAAAGGAGGAAAGGGTCTAGGTTAAGTAATTGTGAAGATGCTTAGGTATGGTTTAGGGCGGCAATCACACAGAGGTCGACGTTAGTAGACACAGGCAGGTGTCTCTGTGTACATCCAGAGGGCACTAACCGGGAAACTTTATACCACCCCGCCCCCCCCTCCAAGTGCGCCCAGATGTTTGTGCGCAAGCAAGGTTTCCAACGAGTCCCGTCAGAGCCTGCGAGGTTTTCTGACTGGATCCCTTCTGACGTTGCAGTTTTCGGGCGAAGTACTTCGAAGAACCCAGGAAATGGCTTCGGGGTGCTTCGAAAGGTCGCGGTGGGTTTGTGGTGCAGAGAGTTTTCCTCTGGAACTGGGATGACGCGGCTCTCCCTCTCCATGTATAAAGCATTTTAAAAAAAAGTTTTAATCGTTTACAGAACAGTGGAAAGTAATATGGCTGCCCTGCCTCCCCCCTCCTCCCTTCAGATCCCAGGGCTACAGGAGTTCCTTCAAAGCAGAGAAGAATTAAAACCAATAAATAAATAAATAAATATTTTTTAAAAGTTAAATGGTGTGAATGCTGGGAAGACTTTTCAGATCTGGGTGCGGCAGACGGAAGGGGGGTCCAGAACCTGGAAGAAAGCCAGCGTGTTGTAGTGGTTAAGAGGGACAGACTCTACTCTGGAGAACCGGGTTGGATTCCCCACTCCTCCACCACCTGCAGCCTGCTGGGGGACCTTGGGCCAGTCACGGTTCTCTAAGAACTCCCTCACAAGCAGTGTTCCCTCTAAGATGAGTTAGTGTGAGCTAGCTCACAGGTTTTTTAGCCTCCAGGTCACACATTTTTGTCTTCGCTCAGGAAGGATGGCTCCAGAGCAAACTAATTTATGCAGTAGCCAAATTGCCCGCTCACAACTTTAATGCCAGTAGCTCACTAAGTAGAATTTTGGCTCCCAATGCTTAGAGGAAGCATTGCTCACAAGGTGCCTGTTGTGGGGAGAGGAAGGGAAGGCGATTGTAAGCCGCTTTGAGACTAATTTGGGGAGTAGAAAGGCGGAGTATAAAACCAATTCTTCTTTCGGGGCCCTGCTTGCCCCCTTTGGAGAAAGCCTGCAGTGCAGGCCAAACGCAATTCACATTTGCAGCCTTTGAAATCACGCGCAGCCGGATCCTATGCAAGCTTACTCGAGAGTAGGTTCTGCCACGGGGCCTTCTGCTAGGTTCGCACCCTTAGACTGGAAGCTTGTTTCTCTCCACTAAGAAAGAGACAGTTTGGGGGTTTTTTTTTAACGCGAGTAAACTTGTACATGTTGGAGTAAGAGCGGAGGCCGGCTCCGAGGAACAAACGCTCAGGATGATGCTGACCTGGGAACGCGGTTGCCAAACTGAACCCGCCTATTCATCAACTACAGATTAACACGAGAGAAAACCAGCTCCTTTTTTTTTGGAGGGGGGGAGCCAAGTGGTTCTCCCTGCTGCTGTTGCGTTCCGAGTAGGGGTAACAGAACGCTGAAGGTAGATGAAAAAGCTGCCAGCCGGTGGCAGCTTCCGTGGCACTTGCCTTGCTCCCTTGATCATATGCAAATACCGTCGATCAATGCTCCCTCTAAGCTGTGGAGTCTTGTGAGCAGAAATCCTACTTTGTGAGCCTCTGGCATTAAAGTTGTGAGCGAGCGATTTGGCTGCTGCACAAATTAGTTTGCTCTGGAGCCATCCTTCCTGAGCTAAGGCAAAAATGTGTGAGCCGGAGGCTAAAACTGTGAGCTAGCTCACGCTAACTCAGCTTAGAGGGAACACTGCCGTCGATTAAACAACGCGGGCTGCCATCCGGGGGTAAACCTTAGTTCGGTGACTTCGGAGTAGACATGACGGCAAACCCTAAACGGAGTTGGGAACTCCGGAGAACTGTGGATTGCCATTCGGATCCGGGAGTACGAATTCCTGTGTGGGTGGCCTTCTAAATATTTTTGCTCACGTGCGTCTGCGTATGTGTCTGTCTGCTGTACAGGGGTCCATTGGTTGAAAACAGCAACACACATTATCAGCAGCAGCCGCCTAGCAAGAGGGAAGTGGAAAGGAGTTCTCTGAATTTCTGGGTAGACTAGAGGAGGGATTCTGCCTTTGGACACGAAATCTCGGAGGAGACTGCCGGAATGACGCCAGTACCACCTTCGAGACCAACAAGATTTTCGCGGTGCGAACTTCCCAGAGTCAAAGGTCCTCCCTTCGTATCTGACCCGAGCGTCGGCTCACAAAAGGTCATGTCCCGAAAACCTTGTTCGCCTCGAAGGTGCTGCTGGACTCGAGGCTTGCTGTTCTACTGCAGACCAACACGGCTGCCCTCTGAAACTATTTTCTTGGAAGGGTGACAACATTCTCTCTCTCCCCCACTCCACGGTGTGCCAGCACTGTCTCTCCGTGAGGCTTCCAACTACGGGCCTTCCCCCTTCCCGCATCCCTCCCAGGTTTTCGCCCCAGCCCGCTCTTTGCGCCTGCCCGGCACAGTTCGACGCTCCCATTATAGCCCCTTCTATTTTGATGCTCTTGGCCCAGAGCCTATCAGGCCGGCTCCTATCAGGGAGTTACAAGCGGCTCCCACGACCGCTGGCGCTGGGCAGATCTCCGGCCCAATACCGCCGGGCTGCTTTGAATATCAGCCGGGCTCTGCCTATCTCCCTCCCTCCCTCCCTCCCTCCCTCCCGCGCCGCATCCCCTCCCGTCCAGTGTCTAATGTCCCCCTCACTTTTTTTGGCCTTTTGGGGAGATAAATCCACCGCTCCAGAGCCGTTTGTGCCTGGGCTTTGTGGCCAAAGGGAATATTTGAAGTAAGGAAAGCACTCAGTTATTGCACAGTCATCTCTATAGCGACATGGGGGGGGGGAGTTCCTTCTGAGTCCCTGCGCCTAGGATCTCGATGCAAACTCCCCAAGTCTGTAGAAAAGGGAGTGCAGCCGATGTTACAGCCACTTCCACACTGTCGGTTTTGTCACTCGTTTGTCCCTATTGCTTCAGGGTCGTCGTCGTCGTCGTCGTCCCCAATGTGGAATGCTCTCTCTTGTAGTCCCAGAGGGAGCAAAACACGTGGGGAAAGGGAGGGAAACCCAAAGCAATAGGGACAAACCAGTGAGGGAAAAAATGATAATGCGGAGCAGCAGCCAATCCGGATTTGTTTGCGAGCGCACGAGACAAGGTCTTTCAATTGCGTGTCGGCAAGTTATGAGGTGCTCTCAGACGATTGTATATCGGACCGCAGCCTTTAAAAAAATACATCAGGCGTATACATAAAAGTGCAACGTATGGAAAGGCTCTATGGACATTATCTATTAAATCTGCACGCGGCCCTTTCTTTCACGAGCGATTCTCTTCTTCCTCATTATATTCTCACAACAGCCCTGGGGAGTCATGTTACGTCCAGGGAGGATTTGAACCCGGGCCCCCTCATTCCTGGTTCCACACATGGGCCCATTTTTTTTTTGCCCCAAACTTCTCTGCCCCCCCTTTAATATCCTTCTGAAATGGGTTTCTAAATTAGGGGGTGAAGGGCGAGAGGAAACACACACCCCCGTTTCCTGTACGGTTTGATTTTTATCTGATTCTACGATTATTTTAGTCTCTTCCTCGCTCCCTTTCCAGGGCATGGAGGGAATCAAAGTGTTTTTGCACGAACGGGAATTGTGGCTGAAATTTCACGACGTGGGGACGGAAATGATCATCACGAAAGCTGGAAGGTAAGAAACGGTCTCCAGAAACTTTTGTGTCTGCTTATGGATGTTGACAGGCAGTTTGTCCCCGGGCTGGGGGTCGGAGAGGGAAACGTTATCAACAGAAGCTAACAATAGCTGACAGTTTCCCACGACCACACACACACACAAAATGGGAGCGATCCACTTAAGGACTTCTCTTGCGACAGTCCCATTGGGCATCCCGCGATGGATCGGGACCGCTAGAAGCGTGCCCAAAATCAAATCAAATCTGGAAAATGTTTGTCTGGGAGGGGGAAATCACAAGGGGTATTTCAAGGAGCTGAAAAAAGGCGTCTGGAAGGTTAGGTGAACGTCATTGTGAGAGAGAAGCCAGGCACCTGGGACTGGGAGCAGGCAAAGCCAAGCTTACCGGGAAGAAAACCCTTTCAACTCAGAAAGATTTACTTCTGAATAAAAATCCATAGTTTCATGCACGTCCTCTCAGAGGTCCAAAGAGCTCTTGTAGCTTTTGAGGACTCCTGGCTTTTGAGGCCGCTAGTCTCATACAAATAAAAAATGATGACACGAGAGAGTAAAATGCGGCGGCGGCTTGGCCCTGGTGTCGACCTGTAGAGCACCCCTATTGGAGAACATGCTTGCCTTTGATCCATCAGCATGGGTTTCACTCATCTTCTTAGGACAGCCCTGTAGGGTAGGCTAATGCTGTTGTTATTATTTATTTATTTATTTGATGTATATACCGCCCTCCCCGTAAACGGACTCAGGGTGGTTTACATCAATTAATATAATACAATTAAAACAACGTTAAAATGACAGCTTACACAGAATAAAGTCATAAAATACCGTGTAAAACCGGAGAGATCAGATACCCCTTATACTGGAGACGGAAGGCTGACAGAGATAAAGCGAGCTCATAAGACTGATGAAATCTGAGCTGGGACCTCCCAAATAATAGCACTATTTCATACGTACAGGAGAAAGGCTGTTGTAAGAATAAAGTCATAAAATACCGTGTAAAACCGGAGAGATCAGATACCCCTTATACTGCAGACGGAAGGCTGACAGAGTTAAAGCGAGTTCATAAGACTAATGAAATCTTAGCTGGGACCTCCCAAATAATAGCACTGTTTCATACGTACAGGAGAAAGGCTGTTGTGCCGAATGTCAGGGTGGTAGAATGGACGGCACCATTTTCATCTGCAGGTGGTGGATTCAATCTTTGAATGCTTCTTGGCCGTAAAAAAGCTCCCCGCAAAGAGAAAACTAGAACAATAAGGTTAAGGATTCACCCTCCAAGTCTTTGCATGCTATGGTGGTTTTCTTCTTTCTTTAAACATAGGGGAACTTTTGGAAATGTGATCCCCCCCCAGTTGCCTTCTGAAGTGGTGCCGTCCATTTTGCCGGTTCAGCTTCCTGCATGCGTAAACTCTAGGGCACCGCTATGCAGCGTTGGGAATCAAACGAGAGGATTCCTGTTCGTTTCTTTACGGCGTCAAAACCAATTTCACCCCTTTCCCCTCTTTCCTGGAGCTGTTGTGGGATCATCGCACCTAACTCTTCAGGTCCCAATCCAACCCAACCGAAGTTACGTAAATGCCTATAAATAACATTTTCACTGACCTCCATGGAGTTTAAGGCTTGAAGCCTAATCACTCTTGGGCATGAATCCACTGCGACTTACTTTCAAGTAAGTACGCATAAGATTAGACTGCACACGTGTTTAATTTGGGTTGTATCACATCTTTCTGTTTTTCTTTTCTTTTAAATGAACCGTGTGAACGAAAAAGTTTTAGATTATTAAGTGAATTGTAGAGGTTGGCTGAGTCCTATCTGCTGAGTATACAGACAATACTATTGTTTATTGTATTGTTTATTGAATACCCCCATCCTGTCGATTGTATTTACTCACTCTGTGTAATCCGCCTTGAGTCCAAGTGAGAAAGGCGAACTATAAATGAAGTGATAAAAAAAACCCTAACAAACTAAATAAAACTTGCTTAGGGGTCTAAATGTTTTGTCTTTTGTGATGGGTCCTGAAGACTTCTAAGAGGTGCTTTGTAAACTAAAGGCAAATAAAATAACCGGAGACTACCATTCTGTCTCCCATGTTCAGGAACTTTCCACTTGTTTCACATACAGACACTCTGCAGTGTTTCAGATAGCCTGGAATAAGGTGGGAGGACATGGCTTGCCCCCTGGAGCATCTGCTTGGCATGAAGGTCCCACATTCAGTACATGAGGTATCTGGGTACAAAAGGAGCATGTATTAGGTTCGTGAAAAACCTCTCCCCGAGTCTCCGAAGAGCAGCTGCCGGTCTTAATAACAATAACAATTTAAAAACATAAATACCAATGTATGAAATCTTGGTTTCAAGACCAGTTCTTGTGTTGGGTGATAGTGAGGTATTGAAAAAATGGTATTTAGCAGAGATAAGATGGTCCAGCAGAGCCAGAGTAAAATAATTCAGACTGAGAGTCCATGTGTGATTAAAATATAAAGTTTTTACTAAATTCTAGCATGGGAAGGGTAACTGGGATGAAAATAACAACAGAGCATAATCGGCTACATCCTTACTCGACAAGGACAAAACTAGAAGAGAGAGATTATGGCTGCTCTTCTGTTTCTTCAGAACACCAAACAAAGACAGGAAGAGAAGCCATAAAATGGTAATACACCTTGACACTTTAGTCCCAATCAAATCCCTAGATCAGGGAGAAAATTCCCGGGTATTCTACAGCTAAAGAACATTGGTTACATGAGAAACATGTGACTTCCTGTGAGTAACATAAACAAACATTTAACCCTAGATATACTGAGTGTTTTCAACTTGTAATACCCAACATCTTGCTTCTAGGAAGTAAGTAGGTATGAGTAAAACAAAAAACCCAGTACTGGAACAGACCATGCTGCCTCAGACTATTGAGCCAGGCTATTTGTCTATCAAGTTCAGTATTGTCTACTCTGGCAGCAGTTCTCCAAGGTCTCAGGTAGAAGAACTAGACACTAGGACTGGGACCTTCTGCATGCCAAGCAGACACTCTGCCAGTGAGCCACAGCCTCACACCTTATTCCAGGGCTATCTGAAAATATACTAATACTTATTTATCTAATTAATTTATACCTCACCTTTCTCCCCAGTGGGGAACCAAAGTGGCTTATATCCTTCTCCATTTTAGCATCACAACAACCCTGTGAAGTAGGCTAGGCTGAGAGTGCGTGACTGGCCCAAGGTCAACCAATGAGCTTCCATGGCACCAGTGGGGATTCGGACCTGGTCTTCCAGATATTAGCCCGACACTCTTAACCAATACACCACATCAGGTTGATTAATATTTTGATTTTGTTATCACCCTCATTATTATAAATGGGTTCAAATTTCAGTGGGGTAGCTGCCTTATAGTACAATTCTATGCAGAGTTACCCCAGTCTAAGCTCATGGATTCATTTGCCTAGGATCACATGCTATTTGCCTAGGTTCACATGGAGAGCCAGTTTGGTATAGTGGTTAAGTGCGCAGACTCTAATCTGGGAGATCTGGGTTTGATTCCCCACTCTTCCCCTTGCACCTGGCTGGATGACCTTGGGCAAACCTTAGTTCTGATAAGAGCTGTTTTTGAAAAAAGAGCAGTTTCTGTCAGAGCTCTCTCAGCCCCACCCACCTCACAGGGTGTCTGTTGTGGGGAGGGGAAGGGAAAGGAGTTTGTAAGCCGCTCTGAGATGCCTTCGGGTAGTGAAGGGCGGGGTATAAATCCAATTTCTTCTCTTCTTCTTCTTCTTCTTATTAGAGACACACACTCAGCAGATAGTCTTGTGCTACCTTAAAGATTTATTTTCTGGTCTGGTGTCCAGAACATGAAGCCTGTCCTCAGTTTTGTAAATCTGATTTGGCGGCAGGGAGGGGGGTTGTTCCTGAAGGCTTGTCCTAATCCATTTGATAGTCTTTTAAGATGCCTTTTGGATTCTTTTGCATCCAATGGAAGTAGTAAAACAACATTTATTTGCGTGTGTTTGTGTGTGTATGTGTGTGTTTCCTCTCACTTTGAATCTTGGGAGCTGGGGTGCCTGTCAAGAGCAGCTTAGTTTGATGCATTGGCCTTGCACAGCCTGCTGGAATTTAGGCTTCTTTCTTCCAGTGTCTGGATCTGCTCCCCACCTCACCCTGCTTATTGGCGCTAGCCTGGTTTAGTGAATTGGGATCTGGCACATCCAGGGTCAAATCTGCCACCCAGCTTTCTGGGTAACCTCACATGTACACCACCTTCACCTCCTTCTACTAAACAAAATGATACTGAAAAATGAAAACTGCATTGGAAGCTCTCCCTGAGGCCGAAAGCAGTTTGTTGGCCAGGTAGTATACTGGTGATTGGAGGTGGGGATCATAAATTTAAAGCTCCTGGAAGGAAGTCATGATTCCTTGGATCCAGGCCAAAGCTTCGAACAAAGAGATGTCATTTTTACAGAAATCTATCCCCCTTTTTTAGTTTCCACCTAAGCACCCTGGAGTCTCCTGGTGATCATGCAACTGGTTGAAAAAGTCATTAGGTCTTTCTTTCTTTATGATCTCTTTACCCTACCTTCTCCCAAGGAACGTAGGGAGGAGGTGTTGGGTCCCCTCCTAAATGTTATCCTCACAACAACAGTGTGAGATGGGACAGGCTGAGAGAGAGTGACAGCCCAAAGTCAGCCGCTGGCAGGGAATCCAAGTGTTCCCATTATTACTCTGATCCCCCACTTACAATAGTATTACTTCTAGTGGTGTTGGAAAGTGCTATTAAGTCCCAGTGGACTTATGGCAACCCTGTAGGTTTGTTCAGAGGTGGCCTGCCATTGGCTGCCTCTGTGTAGCAACCCTGGACTTTCTTGGTGGTCTCCCATCCAAAGGCTATCCTGGGCTGACCCTGCTTAGCAGCCAAGATGAGATTGGGCTAGTCTGGGCTATCCAGGTCATGGCATATTATTTCTACATTCCATTTTAAGGATACTAACTTGGAAGTAGAGACATCACCCTGCCAACAAAAGTCTG